ACTCTTAAGTTCCTAAACGTCTCCACCAGGGCTTTTCTCCACCAGTCTCAAATCCAGTCTGGGTGGGGATCAGGGTGGGGGATATACAGCCAGACCACTGGCGAGAATCAATTTGCTTGTAAGGCCGCTTTGAGCGGTTTTTTGTGAAGTAACCAGAAGGAGCTTCAAGAATCTCAGAATTTCAGTTCATTGCCCTCAGTGTTTTACCTTTCTAGTTTCACTTAAAGAGTTAAACATGCCCTGCATTCTACAAATGTTTGACACCAATTACAATATTTGAATTGGCAATATTGTTTGTATATTGAACTTCAGAGCCTGGCTAATGATAATTATATCAACCTGCAAACATTTTTTTCCATGCGGACAATTCTACATTGCATTTACTTCGTCAATTCTGATCAATAACTGTTGGGTAATTTGTATTTGTGTTCCTATAAATGCATACGCTCGCAGGTGTCCAATTCCTTTCCTCCTGTGGTGTTAATTTTCATCTAGAGTAATTGCCCTTTACAGACAGCTGATGTTCACATACTTTCATCGATATCCATTCACTGTGGATGTAAATGCTCATGGCTCAGTTCTCTAGACAGTGAAGAGCAAAGACTACACACACACACACACACACACACACACACACACACACACACACACACACACACACACACACACACACACACACACACACACACACACACACACACACACACACACAGTTAATTCAACAAAATAACTATTGCGATGTTCCTGCAATAATAACATTAAAACAAATTCAAACAAATTAAAATATAGTAAAATATAGCAGTATTTACATAGAAATAGAATATAATGAAATATGGAATAAAATTCTGCAGTGATACAAAAAAGCAAACAGATATTGTGTGCATTAATGCAGTCTACGATGTGTCAGCATGACTTCATACTGCCTCAATCAATAAGGCTGTGCTGGTCCTCTCTGGGGGATCAATGGGAGGCTCTTCCCTCTCTGTATTTATAACATCTGACCTACCGTACCTCTGATCAGGATGACTGTGTGGACTTTAAAAAGTGACTCAGCGCTTTGATTGTGAGGCTGAGTGCTCTGATGAAGCTCAGTAAGCGGCAGGAAGACTCTTAAAGGGGAAGCTGCCATGTTTTAGATGTTTTTGAAGTGCTTTTCCACGGTCAGTGCATTAAGTATAGGAGATGCAGCTTGGGGAAAAAGACTGGATTCAAAGCTAACAATGTACTGCTTTGAACGAGGGCAGTAGCAACATGTATTTAAGGAGTTATAGAGAGTCTCTCTCACACATGGACAATCCAAATGACTTATTATAGTTAAACTGCACTTAAAGGTCACCTATCATGCTAGATTTAGGCAACAGCATAGGTCTCAGATATCTAAAATTATATAAAAAAACATGTCTTTTTAGTGTTTTGCTCCAAACACCAAACAGATCACCCATTCTAGCCATGCCTCATATCCCTCTATTTCACTTCCTGTTTCTAAAGTGCTGATTTGGGTATAAAGCTTTAAATAAAAAAGGAGGGGTCTGAGCTCATGCGGGACCCGGCAGCTACTGTCTAAACTAAATACTGCCGTGATGAAACTCCATATCATGGATTATCAAGGATTCTTTCTGAAACAGTATGGAGCTCAAAGGCTTTCTCTCTTGCCGGTTATACCACAAGGTGAGTTCCTTTTTCCTTCCTGCTTCTTCACACACATGCTCTCCAGTACAGGTTAGCTCTGAGTGTTAGCGATGCTAATGTAAACACCGACCATATTACGTCCAAAACAGTCGGGCATTGTTTCTGATAGCAACGTTTCTGATAGGGCCGTGGGTCCACATTTCAGATATTACGTCATATCGGACGCAAATCTGGATCAGCTCCGTTGTTCCCCCGTTTTTAGAGATTTGGGTACGGAGGAAAAGAGAGAGGGTTTTATTTTTGACGCTGCCGGGGACACATCTTTATGTTTAAAAGACATCAAAAAGTGCATTTTGCATGATAGGTCCCCTTTAAAGATGTGTCTCATTCAAATGACCTCATCGAGTTAATCACATATTCAGATTTAGCTCCTTTACTGTAGTATCAC